GAGGACTACCGCCGGAGGGGCGCCCGCGACAATGACTTCGTCGTCCCCTTCTCGACGCTCTCGACGAACCTCATCAGCGGCGGCAACGCCATGAACACTGTACCGGCGCTGTGCGAGATCGGCTTCGAGTTCCGCAACCTTCCACGCGAGCCCCTCGCCGCGGTGGAGCAGCGGGTGCGGGCGTACGTGGAGACGGAGCTGCTGCCGGCGATGAGGGCGGAGCTTGCGGACGCCAAGGTCGAGATCACGCAGGTGGAGGCGGCTCCGCCCTTTGAGGGCAGCGAGGAGGCGCCCATCACCAAGCTGGCGCGCGCCCTCACCGGCCACCACACGGTGGAGAAAATCGCACCTACCACGGAGGCGGGGCACTTCAGCGGCATCGCCGGCGTCCCAACTGTGGTGTGTGGGCCCCACGGCGGGGCCATCCACTGCGCAAATGAGTACATCACCGCCGCGCAGCTGACGAAGTGCCGCGAGTTTCTGCTGAAGGTGGCGGAGAGCCTCAAGGCCCCCCCTGCCCGCCTGTGACGCCTCTGCCACGGCGGCGCGTTGGGGGAGGGCGTTTTCTGTCGTTTTTTTTATTTGGTTGTGTCATGTTGTTGCGTGTGTTTTTTCTTTTTTGGTGTGATTTTTTTTATGTATACACGTGTTTTTTCTCTTCTCTTCTTTATTTGATTTGGACTATCTTTGCAGTTGTTAGTGGCTTCGGTTGTTCATCGTTTTTTACTCTCGGTTTTCCTTCTAGCGGCTGCGGGGGCTTGAATTTACTTTCTTTGTTGAATTTGTTTACTGGAGTAGCAACTGGACGCGGAGGCACTGTGAGGCCCATTGCCGCTGAGGAGGTGGAGGGCGGTAATCGTGTCGGTGCTCCCACGCACTCGTGCCGTGGGCGCTGGTGTGTCTGTCTTACCGCAGGCGGTGCGGGCCGTTGCGCGGGGTGGCAGCCGTGCAGAGCGTGGGGGGAGGGTGGACGGCTCGTAGCGGCGGCGCGCACGTCCCTGCGAGGGGAGGGGGCGCGCGATGAACGGCGCGGGGAGTTCTGGCAACCACATCGCGACCACCGACTCGCCAACCATTACGAAGTGGTCTCTCATCATCCTCGTCGTGCTTGGGTCGTTGGCCCTCTCCATTTTCGTGGCGTGCGTGTGGTTTAACTTTCACTGGACGCGCAGGATTATGGGGGGGCTGTCCATCGGCCTGCCGTTCTCGCAGAGCCGCAGCGTCGTCGCGGGCAACGGCGTGCCGCGGCAGGTCCAGGCGCAGGGTGGGGAGAACGAGCAGGAGACGCTGCGGGGCCACGCCTTAGAGAACCGCGTCCGCGTCCGTCGCCACCAGGGGCCCCAGTCGTACCATCTGCCGGACGGGCACACCACCGTGTACGTTGACGACTTCAGCAGGCTGCCTGAGGCGAAGCCGCCGCCGCCGACGGAGGAGGAGATGCAGCAGCGGCGAGAGGAGGCAGAGCGCGTTCCGTCGCCGGTTTTTTACGGCCGTGGCTCGTACCTTCGCCGCTCCATGTCGTCGCTATTTGGGAGTTTCCGCCTTCAGACAACCCCCCGCACACCGGCCGCCGCATCCGTCGGCTCCAGGGTGTTTTCGTCGCCGAGTAGGCGGGACGACAGACGAGGCCACGGCGACAGCACGAGTAGGAGGCCAAATGAGCCCACCAACACCTCGCTGAGTGGTGTTGACCCCTCGAAGTTGGATAAGCCTCTCTAATAGCGTCAGTGGCTGAGGTGCGAGGCTGTTGAGAAGCCTGAATGAGTTTTTAGGGGGACACACTGGCGTCGGTGGATTAGATGCGAAGGGCGATACATGCAGTGTATGTATCTGCAGAATGAGAGACGGAGCGGAATGAAGTGTGTCCTGGGGCGTAGCAGTCATAAGGAGTTTGATAAAGAGTTGTCTGTCTGTGAGTGTGAGTGTGTGTGTGTATGTGTGCATGTGTGAATGATGGCTGTGTTTGTCATTTTTCTTGCTGCTGCTGGTGTGTCGTATGGTTATTGTGCTTGTTCTTTTTTCCCCCTTTTTTTTGCTGTGTCGTCATTTCTCCGGCGGAGAGGCTTGCGCTGCCCCTCTCACTCGCTCACTTACACACAGAGTTTATATATATACACATAATGTATATGTGCCTCTCACTCCTTCTCCCTCGCTCTGTAGAGGGGCGGGAGGGCAGCGGGGCTTTCCGTTTTACTTTATTAACTGTGTCCGAAGCATGTTGGTGGGAGGGAGGGGAGGGAGAGAGGAACGTGTGGCCGGATGGGGCCAAAGAAATGAGTGAGTGTCTCGGTTAACATCCCTCTGTTTCCTTTTATTCATAAATTGATTTTACTTTCCTTCTTTTTTTTCCTTCTTTCTTTCCCGACGAACCCGCGATGGGGGGAGGCGGCAAGTGTAACGTTTTTGGTTTCTTTGTGTGTGTGTGTGTGTGTGTTTCTTCCCGCCCCCCGCCCTGGCCGCCTCTTTGCCCTCCACGCGGACGCGGCCCAGCGGCGGCGGGCCCCGCAGACTGGCACCTCGTCAGTCCCCCACGGGGGCCCGGTAGCATCCCGCCTCCGTGTAGTTTTGCTTTTGCGCTCGTTGGTGTGTACCTCGCCGCCGCCGCCTCGCTGGCCGTCCCCACTTCAGCCCCGAAAAGGCGGGCGAAGGCGCGCGCACAAAACAAAATAAAAATCCATGCGTCTGTTTGGGACTGTGGGATGCCGGGACACGTTTTGTCATGCCCCACAGGCCTCAGTGCACGCTGTGGAGGTGCTGTTTCGTTGGGTCGGTTGGTGGGTTGGCCCGGTGGCGGCAGCGTTTTTGCACTTCCCACGGGGGAAGTGACGTGTGCGGTGGGGAAAAGCGGGCGGGGGCGCAAGAGGGTGGACGTCTACGGTCTTCTTTTTTCTTTTTGTTTGTTTGCTTTGCGTTTCCTTGTTTGTGTGTGCTTGTGCTGTGGTCCTCCTTCCCGTGTCTGGTTGCAGTTTCTTTTTTTCCCCCCTTTCCCTCGCTCCTTCCCTATTCGCTTTTGCCGTGCATTTGTGCGGCAGCGCCCGTGGGGGAAAAAAAAAAGAACAACAACCACAACAACAACAGCAGCAGATTTCGTCGTTGTTGCGGTGCAGGTGGGTCTCTGTTTTCTGTGGGGCGGGAAAAGGGAATCCGCCGCCTCGTCGTGTGTGCCCAGGCCAAAATGTTTGACACGGGCCTCATGGTCGGGGTGATCTGCGGGAGCCTCGGCGGGTTTGCGGTGTTTGTGTGGGGCGGCATCTTCCTGTGCTACCGCCTCAAACTCTTCTCGCCCGCGTTCGGCGTGGACGGCGAGGGGGTGCGCGGGATCCCGCTGCGCTCGCTGGCGCCACGCATGACGGAGGAGCGGCGGCGGAATTTGCTGCGGGCGCGGCGGAAGATGCAGCGAGACGCGCGGCGGCAGCAGCGGCGGCAGGAGAGGGAGGCGGACGGCGTGCCCGGCGACGACGCGGAGCGCGACGGCGGCGGCAGCGGCAGCGGCAGCGACGGCACCACGCCGAGCGAGCGGACGCACGGCAGGAACTCGCGCTGGTTTCGCAGGCGGTCCAGCGCGGACAGCCTCACCAGCGCGACGCTCGCGAGCTCCAGCGCGGTGTACGGCCACGGGGACTACCTCTCGCGGTCGTGCACCACGTCGCCGCGCAGCCAGCGGGAGGCGGCAAGCAGCTGCCGGAGCGAGGAGGCGTTCCCGAGGCGGCGGCGCAAGTCCCACAAGCGCCGCCCGCGGAGGGGCAGTGACGTCGTCGACGACGGCAACGCGCGCAACAGCCCCTTCGGTGGCTGGACGGACTCCGCGCGCAGCTGCTGCAGCAGCAGCGCGGACAGCAACAAGGTCGGCGAGGAAGACAGGCGGCCTGTCGAGGTGGGCATCGTGTCGCCGGAGCCCGAGCGACTGCGTCCCACGCGGCGGCAGATCATTGAGCAAAATGCCGCTATGAGTGGCTTCTTTACGGTGCCGACGCATGGCTGGAGCCCTGGGCAGCACGCGGAGAATCGCAGCTGTCCCGACCGTGTAAATCTTTGAAGGGCAGGCACGCGTGCTGAGTTTATAATGGTGCGCCGCGTCCCTCTCACCCCGAGGCGCAGACGGCAGCACCATACCTGCTCTATACCAAAGTGTGTCTTGCCTTTGGGCCGAGTTCGCCTCGTTTCTTTTCATTCCTCCACTTTTCCCTCCTGATCCGCGTGCGTTTGATGTTTGTTTTGACCTTCACTGCCAAACGCACCGCCTGTTCTTGCGCCACTTTGGTGCGGTTGTGATTATTTTGTGATTCATATCTTTTATGTTCTAGTTCTTTAGTTTCAGGCGTGTTGTTGATCGTTGAGTCTGTTTTATCTCCCTGCCCGTACGCCTCTCTGTGTGTGTGCGTGGGTGGGTGTGTGGGTGGGTGGGGGGGGGGGGGCTTATGCGTACGACCAGGCACTTGATGGCCTTCGTCTCTCCACCCTCGTTCTTTTTTTTCCTTTGGGTTTGTGGGTTTGTGTGTGTGTGTGTTGTCGCGGTGCACTGCGGTGCGTCCCTGTTGCCACGCCATCAAGCTACCCGCCGCCGCACGTGTGGTCGGCCCATGCACGCATTCCGCGTGGAGCAGGGGCTACGTCCCCGTCCTTATCTGTCCGTGCGGTGGGGGGACGGCGCGGCGGCGGCGAAGGGAAAGAGGGACCCGCTGGAAGTAGTCTTTGCGTCGGTGTGTT